GATAAGCTTGTCATCGAAATTTATAAAACCCCTCCATACAAAAGCACAGTAAACGGCCGAATAGAAAGATTTTACTTTACTTTATCAGAAATAATACTTCTAAAGAGATCTAATGTTCATAGAAACTTCGAAAACCTCCTAGACAAAACCGTGTACGAGTATAGCTTTACTTTCCACTTTGTTACGAATAGACGACCTTTAGAAGTATTTTTTGGTAGAACTGTGACTACGACCCCAGAACAATACGTAACAACGAGACTAGAAAACATATCTCGACTGAAACAAAAATAAGATCAAGACCTACAACACCACAACAAAGGCAGACTTGACACCATTTTCTTAAAAATCAACAATAGGTTCGAATCAATTGGAATTAGTATCAAACAGAACAGAACAGAACCAATGGACGGACAGACAGATGGACAGGGCCAAATCGACTCAGCTCGTAGCCCTGATCAAGAATATATATACTTTGTGTGGCCTGTCACGCCTCCTTCTGCCTGTTATATACTTTTAACAAAACCATTATACCCATTTTCAATGGGTTCAGGGTATAAAAGCCAGATCATTCACAATTAGTTATACTGGTATCTGACTTGATTTTTGATGTTTTTAATCGATATAAACATTACGGGATGATTTCTCGAAGTCTGAAAATAAACTCGATATCCGCGCTACATATACGATCATTTAAAAACAAAAAATTAAAGTCTCTGGCTTTTATCACTAACCAGACAACACATAGACTAGACATGTAGAATAAACTTTTTCAAGGGTTCGGGCTACGAAAATATACGAAAGCACAATCATTTAGATTCATGCGCTCGACCGAGATGGGCAGATGTTGAACATAAGATGGCTCTATGCTCAATTTTTGTCTTGCTCTCTCTCACTCTCGATGCTCTCTACTCTCTCAAATATGTATATGTATGTATGCATGTGAGCACAAGCAGCAGCTCACAAAAATTGAAATTTTTTCGCGTTAGACTGCCGTTTCTTCCCTTCGGAACGAAGAGTATACTGAACTCTTCAAACCGTTTGCCAAGTTCGTACAAAATGGGTATGATAGCGTGGTGCGCGTAATGAAATTGTTTTCGTGTCGAGCATGGACACACACACTGTACTATGCGCATTTGTATGCCTGTGTGCATGTGTGTATGCATGGGACAAGAGCGTGGGTTTACCTCAACTTAGAATGTTGTGAACGATTTTGGGCTCAAATTGCAGAATCGCGTTTATATTTAAGTAATTTATTTTGCCATAATAATCGTGTGCTTGCCTATCGAAGTCATCAATTTATAAAAACAATTGTTTTAAAAAGGCATCTGTTTAATATTATTTCATAAATTAAATAAATATAACAAGTAAGAAAGCTCTAGTCGAGACTGCCTGACTACGAGATCCCCTGAACCACTCGAGCAACTGATATTTCAATAATTATTCGCACATGCATACACAGCCATACGCACGCACGCATAAACACGCATTAGCTGCAGTGGTGGCTTACTATGGGAGCTTAATTGTTTAATAACTTTTCTTGTGGATGTACTTTTTTCATGAAACATTCAGATTATGATTATAACATGAATATGCATGCATTTTCCAAAGCAAAAGTCTCTAGACTTTGAAATACGTCTTTTACAAATATGTGGATGAGGGTGTGGATATAGAGGTACATTTTAACAAAAATCGAAATTGTATAAAATGCATATAAATATACATTCAAACGGTAGCTCCAAAGATGTAGGTGATATAATTTTAAAACTAATTTTCGATACGGTTTTTAATCGATAAAAAATAACGGGATGAATTATCGATTTTTTGTGATAAACTCGATATCCGCACTGAAAAAAAATGAGGTCTCTAGCTCTTATATCTTCTGAAATCGACGCGTTCATACATACGAACAAGCGGACGGACGGACAGACGGACGGACAGGGCAAAATCGACTCAGCTCCTCACCCTGATCAAGAATATATATACTTTGTTGGGTCTGCCACGCCTCCTTCTTGTAAAGCCCAAAATTGCCAGTCGATCGACCTTATGAAGTGCTCACATACATATGTACATATGTATGTATGTATAGACATTTGATTGTGTGTATGTATGGGATACGATGCTTACAATTATGGGATATAACTTGTAGAAGCATTTGTATGCCTGTGTGCCTTTACATGTGCGTGTGTGTATGTGTTTGTTTGTATGCATGGGAGATGAACATTGGCGTGTGCCTCCCTCAACTTAGAATGGTGTGAACGATTTTTGGGTTTAATTGAAGAGGCGCGCTTATATATAAATAGCTGACTAACTAAAGTAACAAGTGCTCCTCCCAATACTCTGTGGCACTGTGGCCGGCGAGTAACTCATACACATAAACATATGTGTGTGGTATAGTGACTGGCGGGTAAGTTGCGCTTATCTTTAAGCACCTGATTTTATTTCAATGATTGTGGGTTTGCCTGTCAGAATGCATTTTTAAAGAAATATAGCATAGCTTGCAAAAAACTGTTAACACTTTTTCGTTGTCTGCAAAAAAGTGTCTTTCAGTGACACAGTCAAAAAAACTCAGACAGAAAGTGTTTTTGTCGCGTCTGGCTTAGCTCTCTCGCGCTCTGAGGGAGATAGTTGTTTCTGTTTTCGTTTCCTCAAGTCAAACACTGATCGTTTGCTTGAGTTAAAGAAGTAACGGTAAGTTGCGTTTGTATGGGTAATCACGCGCGATTGCTGCGTTCTTTTTGTATGTATGTATGCGTGTATTTACATGCACACGAAGGCAAAAACATTTTCTGCTGAGTTTGTTAGTCAAAGTGTTTTTTGCTGAGAAGCTTTGTGTGAGGGAAAATCGTGTTAGTTTTACGCGACACTCATGTGAGAGCGTCACACGAATGAGTGATCGCATTGCGTCTGAGCGAAACAGATGCTAAAGAAAAAAGAGAGTGACGCTCAGAGAGAGACGTGTCTACACAATTTTTTTTTGGGTATGATGCGAGAAAGAGAATAAACGAAAAAACGCTCAACTCTCATTTGCAAGCTCTGAAATATAGTACCTGATTAAGCTCAGTGGGCAAAATGGGATGCGATTTTCGATCCCTAGCACCCGTTCATATATGTACATACATATGCAGGTGCATGCAAGTAAAAAAAACTTAATTAATCAGCTATTTAAATATAAGCGCGCCTCTTCAATTAAAACACAAAATCGTTCACACCATTAAAAGTTTAAGTAGTCACACGCCAATGTTCATCTCCCATGCATAGAAAACAAAAATATACACACACGCACATGTAAAGGCACACAGGCTATAAATGCTTCTACAAGTGATATCCCATAATTGTGAGCAGCACATCCCATGCGTACACACAATCAAATGTATATACATACATACATATGTACATATGTGAGCACTTCACAAGATCGACCAAATGCAAATGCTGGACTTAAAAAGTTGCTACAGGCGGCAAGAGCTTCGCACAGAGGCATACAAATGCTCATAGTACATGTAGCAAGCGAGAGTGTGTGTGTGCTTGCTCATCGCGAAAACATTTTCTTTATGCGCACCAACGCTTTCATACCCTTCCCTAATAACGAAAACTCAAACATTTTGTACGAGCTTGGTAAACGGTTTGAAGAGTTCGGAATACTCTTCACACAGAAGGGAAGACACGGCAGTCTAACGGGAAGAATTTTCAATTTTCGTGAGCTGCTGCTGGTGCTCACATGCATACATACATATACATATTTGAGAGAGCAAAGAGAGAGCGAGAGAGCAAGAACAAAAATGGGCATAAAGGCATCTTTTATTCAACATTTGACCATCTCGGTCGAGCGCATGAAGCTTGTGCTTTCGTATAGTTTAGTAGCCTGAACCTAAAAGTGAAGAGCCGAGCGAATACGAAGTTGTTGGTAGCTACTAGACAGATTTTTCGGTGTTGAAAAAGTTTGTTCCACATGTCTAGTCTATGTGTTGTTTGGTTAGTGATATATGTAGATACATGTTTTTAAAAATGTCGATATTTGTTAAAATGTATGTGATGTACATACATGTATGCAGTGTTCCCAGGTTTTGAGACATAAAAATAGCAAAATCGTCTCTAAAAAATAGCTGAAAATAGCTAAACAAATTTTAAAATAGCTTACAAAATAGCAGAAACATTTATGCATTATGCATTTACTTAAAATTTTATTTTTAAATGTTATTTAATAATGATACAATTTGGTCCACATCCAAATCATCATCAGAATTATATTTTATATATGTATTATATACGTTTGTTAAAATGCTGGTGCATTTAGTTCGGGCCAGCTTGATTTGCAGAGCAGCGTTGCTACTGTTAAATACTCGCGTTAGGTGGTCAATCGAGGAAATTGCAGTGTGCTCTGCAACGTACAAACATAATGCCGCCTCCTCCTTCGCACTTTTAGTAGTTGCCAATGGCTCGAAAACAATTTTGTTTTTTTGCCCAAAGGCGCCAACCGCAGTTTTGGTTTTTGTCGTGAAATTTGGCAAAAACACTGCATTTGCAGTATATACAATACGCCGGCGTGTTGTCCGACTCATCCTCCTTAATCCAATCCTTAAATTCAGTGATTGTTTTCCAGGAATCACGAAATTTCTGCTTATATTTTTTATCCATCACATACAATTAATGCCAAGAAGCGTGCCAAGAAGAATTAGCGATGGTGTAAATTCACAACTAGTGATGGTATAATAATCGTGGTGGTAGTATCGCTCAGATCATTACGTACAATTTGGGACTTAATCGAAAAATGTTTTTTTTTTTTTTTTTGCTTTAAATACTAAAATCCAATTCAAAATATTCGTTTGTAAAATAGCTATATTTATAGCTAATAGCAATGCTATTAAATAGCTAATCTGGCAACACTGCATGTATGTACATATTTCACGACACTCACAGTGCCTTCCTTGTAAATCCCAACATTTGCAGTTGGTCGGCCTTGTGAAGTGCTCACAAACTTAATTACATTTTACATTACATACCTCTTTTGTTATCTGATCCAGCGCGTTATCCTCGACATTAACGCATATATTGTTTCGCCGCCGTCCGGTTGCATTAGTACTGTCCATCGCATATAAAATTATTTACAAATGATTATCCAGTTTAGCTCACATTAACCACAAAACCAAGCTTAACTATGTAAATGGAATTTAAGTATTGATAAGCCAAATCCAGAAATATATTCGCCTATTAAAAAAAAAAAAAAAAAAACAAAAGATATTATATATGTATATATATTGTAAGAAGTTAAGTAGGAAAGGATGCTCATTCACGGCTATTTTCCGATTTGCTACACTTACAATCGGTATATATACATATACATTCTTGAGCAGGTCGATAGAGGACGCTACCATCAATTCAGTCGTTAAATTTTGAATTTCTAGCTCTAATATGAATAATATGGAATATGTGAATGAATATGGAATATGGGTAATGAAAGATAGCACGATGGGTAATGAAAGAGAGAGAGAGAGAGAAGAGAGAAATAGAGTGTGAAAGAGAGTAGGACAAAACACGCAGAGCGCTTACAGCGGGACCATTTTGTTTGCGTGCTTGTAGCGCACTGATTTCGTCGTGCTATCTTTCACTACCCGAGCCAGCAAATACCGAGCCGAGCGAATACGAAGTTGATTGGTACCTACTAGACAGATTTTTTGGTGTTGCAAAAATGTATTCTACATATCTAGTCTATATGCTGTCTGGTTAGTGGTTTAAACTGTCAACCTGAATATATATTTAAAATTGAATGTCTCTAGCATCAATAGAGCCACTGACCAGAGAACACATAGACTAGACATGTAGAACAAACTTTTTCAACACCGAAAAAATGCGCTGAGCGGACCGGACAACTTCGTATTTGGTCGGCTCGGTCTTCTGAGGCTCAAGCAGTGAAAATAAGGCACAACAAAATCAGTGTGCTGCGACTGCTGCCACGAAATGCACGCATTACTAAATGAAGCGCATAGCCCTCTTTTTCCCTTACTCACTCTCTCCCTCTCTTTATGCTCTCTCTCTCTCTCTATATGGTCTCTCAAATAGCAGCAGCGCACAGAAATTGAATATTGTTCGCGACGATCCCAGCTCTTTCCTCTTGAGTGAAGGGTATACCGAAATCATAAAAGCATTTGTCACGCTCATGCAAACAAAATGTAAGCGTTTCGATGGTTATTCGTGGGAAGGGTATGAAAGCGTTGATACGCATAAACAATATTATTTCGCGACGGGCAAGTACACACACACTTGTAGTCCCTTGCTACATGTATGAGCATTTGTGACCTGCGTGCGTTACTCTTGCTGCTTGTAGCAATTTTAAAGCCCAGCATTTGCATTTGGCCGGTCTTACGGACTGTCATAACCACTTTACACAGATGTACTATGTATGAACATACATACATATGTACATAAGTACATTTATATATTATTATTGCTAATCATGTTTATAAATGTGTTTATATCCGTAAAATTATTTTATACACATTTTTAACCGAAAAAATTATCGTAAAACACTACTAACTTTATTAAATGCTTTGCAATATATGAAATACACATTTCATATTATACTCAAGCTTTACTCATTATTGTCAAAAATTTCTAATTAAGTCATAATGGCCCATTTGATAGTCACCCTACGATTCAAATCATACAAAATTTACAAACTACTAAATCCGGAGACAATTAGCTTGCCATCCCATACAAGCATACACATACACAAATGTATGTATGCATGTGCTCACTTCACAAGGCAGACCAACGGCTGATAATAGACGAAAATACTGAGAAAGAATTGAGTTTCGCGACGCACGCACACAAAAGCACATACACGTAGCAAGGATGTAAATGTGTGTGTGCATGCTCGTCGCGAAAATGTATTCTTTCTGTGGAGAACAGGCTGTGCAAATTGTAAAGCCCAAAATTTACCGTTGGTCTGCCTTGTGAAGTGAGCACATGCATACATACATTTGTGTATGTGTATGCTTGTATGGGATGGCAAGCTAATTGTCTCCGGATTTAGTAGTTTGTAAATTTTGTATGATTTGAATCGTAGGGTGACTATCAAATGGGCCATTATGACTTAATTAGAAATTTTTGACAATAATGAGTAAAGCTTGAGTATAATATGAAATGTGTATTTCATATATTGCAAAGCATTTAATAAAGTTAGTAGTGTTTTACGATAATTTTTTCGGTTAAAAATGTGTATAAAATAATTTTACGGATATAAACACATTTATAAACATGATTAGCAATAATAATATATAAATGTACTTATGTACATATGTATGTATGTTCATACATAGTACATCTGTTTAAAGTGGTTATGACAGTCCGTAAGACCGACCAAATGCAAATGCTGGGCTTTAAAATTGCTACAAGCAGCTAGAGTAACGCACGCAGGTCACAAATGCTCATACATGTAGCAAGGGACTACAAGTGTGTGTGTACTTGCCCGTCGCGAAATAATATTGTTTATGCGTATCAACGCTTTCATACCCTTCCCACGAATAACCATCGAAACGCTTACATTTTGTTTGCATGAGCGTGACAAATGCTTTTATGATTTCGGTATACCCTTCACTCAAGAGGAAAGAGCTGGGATCGTCGCGAACAATATTCAATTTCTGTGCGCTGCTGCTATTTGAGAGCCCATATAGAGAGAGAGAGAGAGCATAAAGAGAGGGAGAGAGTGTGTAAGGGAAAAAGAGCGCATAGCCGTGCTTCATTTAGTAATGCGTGCATTTCGTGGCAGCAGTCGCAGCACACTGATTTTGTCTTGCCTTATTTTCACTGCTTGAGCCTCAGAAGACCGAGCCGACCAAATACGAAGTTGTCCGGTCTGCTCAGCGCATTTTTTCGGTGTTGAAAAAGTTTGTTCTACATGTCTAGTCTATGTGTTCTCTGGTCAGTGATAGAGCTCAAAATATACCAAAATTTTTCTAGTAGAGTTGGACATATAATTTTTTATCGATCATCATATAATTGTAACATCAGGTACAGAATTTCAGCTTTGCCCTGAACGCTTTCGTGAGTTAAATGAAGCTAAACGTCATTTGTAAATAGATACATAATTTAATTAACTATATTTATACCCTGAACCCATGGAATATGGGAAATCAAGGTATAATGGTTTTCTTGAAATGTATGTAACAGGGAGAAGGAGGCGTGGCAGACCCCACAAAGTATATATATTCTTGACCAGGGCGACGAGCTGAGTCGATTTAGCTCTGTCGTCGGTCCGTCTGTCCGTATGTTTGAGCTCGTGGATCTCAGAAGATATAAGAGCTAGAGACTTGAAATTTTTTTCCTAGGTCCATGTGTACCACGCGCATATCATTTTGCTCTAAAAATCGATAACGTACCCCATTATTTTGTTATCGATGAAAAGCATTAACGAAAAAGCAGTAATATATTATTATCTACTACATCTTTAAAGCTATATTTAAATATAGATTCATATACATATACATTATAGAATTTCCATTTTTGTCAAAATTTACCCCCACCCCTATATTCCCCCCTGACTCTAACATTTGTAAAAGGCGTATTTCAAGTACTAGAGACTTGTGCTTTGGCAAATACATGCATATCTATATTATATTCATTTAATGAAGAGAGTTCATCTACTACAAAAGCTATTAAGCAATTAAGTTCCCATAGTAAGCCATCACTGCAGCCAATGCGTGTTTATGCGTGCGTGCGTATGTCTGTGTATGTCTGTGTATGTGCATGTGTGTGTGCATGCGCGAATAATTATTGTAATATCAGTTGCTCGAGTGGTTCAGGGGATCTCGTAGTCGGGCAGTCTCGACTAGAGCCTTCTTTCTTGTTTTAAAATAAGTTTCATTGTTATGAGTGCCCTGTAGCAAACGCTGGAAACAACTTAATTTGTTTCCTGGTTCACGCAGAGTTAAACTTTATTGTAAAATCGTTTTGTAGACCGAGTATTAATGACGGAGTTGCTTCCTAGTATTAGGATATACAGTGGACTCTCGTTATTTCTACACTGCGATATTTCGAACCTCTCATTAATTAAAAGTAATCACGAGTCTTCTACAAAATCTCTTTATATTTCGAATTATTCCCTTACATTTTATGCACTCGGTAATTCGAACTAGAAAATCATTGCTAAGACGACGTCAAATACTCGCCAATTTAAATTTTCGAAGGTTCTTGACGTGTTAGTAAGATCTTTAAATTTTAATTTTGGACTCCCCTGAAGCTACTTTTCTCTGTTGTGTGTGGTTGCGTGTAACGCATAACTTACAAAACTATTATCTACAAAACGAAACTGATGAAACAGTATACCAGTTACTTATTCTCCATAAAAAAATTATTGAAAAGTCTGAGCAGCTGCAATATGTTTCGAAGCAAACCCGTAGAAATGAGTTCTTTTCAAAGATTAATTTATTTGAACATAAGTACATTACGAATATATAAAATATAAGCACTTAAATAAAAAACCTTGATAATTCGAAGATTAACGAGAGTCGACAGTACATATATACAATAATTTGAGCATTAAATATTTCGTTAAAAATATGCATAAAGTTACTGCAAGTGTCAATAAACATATTATATATATAAAACAAGTAAGAAAACTCTAGTCGAGAATGCTCGACTAGATACTCCCTGAACCAAACTAATAAAAATGCCCATTTAGTATGGCTAAAATTTCAATTTCGATGTATTTAAAAATATAAATGAAATACAAAACTCATTTAATAAAATATAAAAATATTTTGAAACAATTAAAAAAATTACCGTCAGTTGCGCGCTCGGATTCGAACTCGAGACCTCTCGTTCGAGCGTCACGCACCTACTCACTACACCACCTCACTTTTGGAAGCTGCGCTGGCAAAACTGAAAAAGATTCAATGCTGCAGCGTCATCTAGCAAAACAAAACCAAACTAACAGCTGATGTGATTCTAAGAATGTTCTAGAAGAAGTTTGAAAAAAAAAAATTTCAAGTCTCTAGCTCTTATATCTTCTGAGATCGACGCGTTCATACATACGGAGGGACGGACGGACGGACGGACAGACATACGGTCTGTCACGACTCCTTCTGCCTGTTACATACTTTTAACAAAACTCATTTTCAATGGGTTCAGGGTGTCAAAATGAAAAATCATTCAGAATTACCTATAGTGGCATCTGACTTGAACTTGAATGTTTCTAATTCGAATTTTAA